TTCGAATGGGCTCGATAGTGGGGGGCTGTGCCGTGATTGGGGTTGGGGGGAGGGCTTGTGATTGGGGTGGGGGGAGGGGCTGTCTTTTTCTTTTCTTTTAAAATAGGAAAAATTACCTAAAATAATTCCAACTTTACCTAGTCTTTCAAAAATAATCCCACCTTTCACTGTAATGCATAATAATCCTAACTTTACTGAAATTTGCCAATTTTGGGTCGCCGTTAAGTTTCTAACGGAGGATTAACGGAAATGCCTGTTTTGGGCAACAAAATGAAAGTTGGGATTATTTTTGATGAATTTTCATTTTTTTTATTTTCTTTAATTTTTTATTTAAATTTTTTAAATTACTTTCTACCTCCATCATTTCTTTTTCCTTTTTTAAAGATTAGTCTTAGTTTAAAAAATAAAAATAATAGATATAAAAAATGAAAAAATGAGAAATGTAACTAAAATGATACAAAAATAATAAAATAAATAAGGTAATCAATGGAAACTAACTTGAAATTGGTAAGAGTAAAATAAAAATATATGGGTGCATTTTAATATTTTACGTATTATACAAAGTGTTAACATACCACTACTTATTTTTAGAAAAAATTATCTACAATAATTCCAATTTTACCGGACGGCTTGTTCTTTTAAAAAATAAGTAGTATATTAAGACTTCGTATAGTGTGTAAAATGTTAAAATCCACCACTCCGTATATATTTATTTTATTTCTTATCAGTTTCTGTTTAATTTATATTGATTACATTATTTATTTGATTAATTTGTACTGTTTTAGTTATTTTTGTCATTTTCATTATTTTTATATCTATTTTTTTTCTAAGGTAAGAATAATGTTTAAAAAAGAAAAAGAAATGGAGGTTGAAAGTAATTCAAAAAATTTAAATAAAATTTTCAAAAAAATTTAAAAAATAAAAATTCATCATAAATAATCCCAACTTTCATTTTGTTGTCTAAAACAGACATTTCTGTTAATCCTCCGTTAGAAACTTAACGGCGATGTGGGACTGTTCTTTCCATACAAAAGGACAAAGGAAGCTGTGAATTCTAAGAAAATGGTTGAAGAAGGAAGTTCATCCTCAAGTCTAGAAACACCAAATGATGTACTAATTGGTTATGCTGATGCAGGATACTTATCTGATCCACACAAGGGTCGTTCCCAAACTGGTTATGTATTCACAGTTGGTAACACTGCAATATCGTGGAGGTCAACCAAGCAAACTCTAGTAGCCACCTCATGAAACCATTCAGAGATAATAGCTCTACATGAGGCAGTTCGCGAGTGTATATGGTTAAGAACTATCATTACACACATTCCCGGGGCTAGTGGTTTGAGACCAACCACTGAAGAACCCACACGCATTTACGAGGATAATGCTGCTTGCATCGAGCAAATGAAACTTGGATTTATCAAAGGAGATAACACCAAACATATTTCTCCCAAATTTTTCTATAATCAACAACAACAAACTTTCCTTAAGATCCAAGTAAATCAAATAAGATCCGAGGAGAATGTGGCAGATTTATTCACCAAATCATTACCTAAAGCCACATTTGAGAAACATGTTAAAAATATTGGGATGCGTAGACTTTCAGATCTTCCTTGATCATGTACACTTCAGGGGGAGATTTGAATATTCAAAGGTCTAGCTTTTATTTTATGTTACACTCTTTTCCTTAAACCAAGGTTTATTTTTCCCATTGAGTTTTGTTACTTGGTAAGGTTTTTAATGAGGTAACAGTATGCATGAACATAGCGATCGAAGTAAGTATCGGTATTCTTTTCTTCGTTCAAGATTTTTATTCACAGGATTTTGACACTTGATGAGATTTTGACAAGAGATCAAGATTCTATAATTCTACCTACAGCTCAGCACAAGGGGGAGTGTTGAAGGAATTTGTAAATTAGTGTGCTGTTGTGTAGATAGAATTTACTTTATATTGTGTAATACAGTTGTACTGGCTCGTGGGCCTTCTCTTGTAAAACCCTAGGCTGCTTTTCCCTATATGAGGGAGCTATTATCAATAAAGAATATACATCTCCCACAACAAATGGGAAAAGGGAGTATTTTTTAATAATTGGGCTTTGGACAATTGGATATTTGTGTTGGGCACTTGGGCTAGACATTATTTGGAATAAATTGGGCCACTGGGAGCAATATCTAAATTTGAATGGGGGCATAACATATAAAACTATAAAAAAATTATTAAAAAAAATAACACTAGGGGCAGCTGCCCCCATTATCCCTAAGGTAGATCCGCCCATGGTCCGGGTTAGGGGTGGGTCCTCTTTGCAAACATTTATAACGGGCAAGGTCAGTCTAGTTTTCCATTTTGAAATTATCCAGGACCCGGACTGGACCCCTTTTTAGTACTCTGTATTATTATTAGTAATTACACCGAGAACAACGCCCTTACGAGTTACGCCCTTACCCCTCTTTGTCATTCTTTTTGTCTTCATTCAGGCCTCTTTTTTGTATTGGATGACTTAAAATTGAAAATGAGGGTAGTACATTGTTGTGGACTAATGGTAGATGACCATATATGTAATTATTATTAATTTAGTATCACTTTGGTTTTTTAATTTTAACATCATGATACATCCATACCCGTTGGCATGTGGAATCGGGCCATTTCAAACTAGATAGGTTAGGTCCGATTTCAATTTTAAAATTTTGAAAAATCGTTTCAACCCCGGCCATTTTAATAAAAAGAAGCTGAGTCCATTTATACAAATCCTGCCTCAGATGCGCTCGTGCCTACCCCTAACCCATGTGTCGCTAGCACTAAAGTAAGAAACATCTAAATCAAAATGTCTATGATGAAATTAGTGATTCAATGGAATAGTGATTAAGAAGTTTTGAGTTTATATAAGCAGGTAAATAATGGATAATATAAAAATAATTAGGCATTCATCTTATTTAGATAAGAAAAGAAGCTAAGGGAGAATTTTATTATGGAGTACAGAATATCTCACAAAGATCATATCATAAACATTTGAATTTATCATTTTATTTATAAAGAGTAGTATTCTTTATAAAGAATTTAATTAAACATAAAATTGGATGACTTAAATGGTATTGAAATTAACGTAATAGATCTCTAATGGATAGTTCATCTAATCTACTATCGTTCTAACAGTTAATAATGCGCTAATTGTCTATACGTAAAATAAAAATTATACATTACATATTTGCTAAATTTACCAAAAATGATTTTGTTACATTTTTCTAATATAAATAATTTAAAATTTGATAGAATATATATTCCCATACATCGCACGAGTGAAATAATAGTTTTAAATTACACTATAAGCAAATCAAATTATGTACATTAGAATCGGATTATAAGATACATGCGCATTAGATCAACTTTAGAAAATTTAAATCAAATTTAATATAGTCAGATAAAGAGAACACAATCTTAACCATTCCTCTCAGAATATAAATGATACTTTTGACTGGACTTTTTGTGTCATGTGTGCTTGTCCTAAAATGTAGCACAACAATGGCATTCTTTAAATGTACCATCAAAGCTAAAAAGTTTGACTACAAAAGTCACACAGAGAAATTAATTTTAAGAGAGTTGGAATATATGTTAATAGGGAAAAAATCCTATTTCATTTCCCAATAAAAAATTTCTAAAGACAAATTCAAACTTAAAACGCATTAGTCTTTCCGCATTCAAACGTTCATCGTATCCCAAGGAAACTTGATTGATAGTGGAAACTGTGTGTTATAAAACAGAACACCACTATCAGATCTTAAAAATGAGCAAAAACCAAACAAGAAACTACATTACATAGCCATAAAGTGTACTAAAAAAATTATTTTTGCAAAAGTGCATTCAAGCAATGTTAGAAAAAAAAATTAGGGAACCCGTGGGGGGTAGGAAATTAAGTGACAGCCACAATTCGCAAAAAAAAAAAAAAGGCTTTGCTTCCAACCCGAGCTTGCAAAGAGTTGAGCATGTGGCAGTTTTTACTCCTTGTAGTAATCTTTTTCAGGGAGGCCAAGCTTAGATAGCACGAGACAGTACGAGCCCCAGTCAGTCCTCCGGAGATACTTCAACATCTTCTTCCTCTTCTCGACCATTGCTTGAAGTCCTTTTCGAGAATGTTTATCCTAAGAAACACCGGATAAAATTTGAATTAATAATAATAAACTGGAGAAGGGAACAAGAGGCGACCAAATCTAATTCATCAAGTACAATGTGCTGTTGAGCAACAACAGGAGGGGACTGCCAAGGATTTAATCTCGGACACATCCTTGGTAAGGAAATCATAAAGCCAAGAACAACGTGTAAATGCAACAAGTAACCATAAATTAATAAGTCTATCAACTAGAGTCATAGTTCTGTTCTCCTTAACAAATTGATTTTATTAAATTTCTTTTCATTTTTCTATTGCTACTACGTAGTAATTAAACAATTCAGCACCTTCTCTATCTTTGAAACACCGAAAAAAATTACGATACAATTACATATCCACTGTCCAGATACGACATACCTTTTTATGCAGAACTCCTGATAGGTGTTTGATTTTGGTGGTGAGTTGAGCTACTGCAGTGGAAATGAAATAAAATTATTTGATAGCAAGGACATCGTGTAATAACTTACAATCAAAACCTGCAATGGTATACAGTTTTGGGTGGAGAAAATGCATATCCTTAACAAAACTCATAAACGGTTACCCTGAACACGAGCAGAGCCACAATCGGACTCTGACATTTTAAATTCATCTCTGACTTTCTTTAGCTCCAACTTCATTTTCTCTGCAGATGACATGAGAGCTGGATCAAAATACTGCAAAATAATGACACAAAATGAATACTCTAAATATAAAAGAGAGTGCTTAAAAACTCGTCAGAAGAACAGAAGTAACTAATGTATCGCACAAAGGAATCAATAATAGGAACACATAAATGCAATGCTCATGAGCCATGAATGGTTATTTCAAAAAATGAAATGTAAAAAACGTGGAAAAATCAAGTACAATAGACCACCCCCTAGCCCAAGGCACCTACCCAGCTAATCTAATCCTAGCTCTCCAAACGCTCATATCTAAGGTCATATTCTCCATAAGGGGAAGAAGTTCTCAGTCATGCCTAATCACCTCCTTCCAACTCTTCCTAGGTCTACCCCTTCCCCTACTTCTCCCTACCAAAGTAAGCCTCTTATATCTCCTCAATAGAGTGCGAGCATTCCGCTGTCTCACATGACCGAACCACCTCAACCTAGCCTCCAGCAGCTTCTCATCCACTGGCGCTATGCCTAACCAACCTCTGAATGATAAAGCTAATATTAATAAATTGCTACACACACAAATTTCAATAACAAAACAAAGAAAACCCGTAAGTTTTGATTTCTTGTATTTACAATAAAACATTATTTAACACAAACAGGAGCATGTCCTAAAATGTAATTTGTGCTACGATTATATAAACAGGAATTTATTAACAACTAAGCATGCTAAACTCTTTCTTGACAGCTACTCCATAATATAACTAGTGAGTCAAAACAACTAACTCAACCAACCATTCAAATTAGCCAACAAAAACCACTAACAGCCAACAGCTAATGCCCAAACAAGTCCTATACCTATCTAAATGGTCACCCACTATTTACGTGGAGAGGATAATCCAATTACTCCCATGTGGACCACCATAAAAAATGTCCTTTTCACCTACAAGATGTCCTAGCACTCTTCTCCCTAGCTTGTCTGGTTGGCACTCTTTTAAAGTCGATGGCCGGACTCTTCTGGCTGTTTGTCACAACACTACCAGAGTGCTTATTGAGGTGGACTTATCAAAGCCCTTGGAAAAGTCTATTAAGGTTAGAATGGGGGATGATGTAGCTTCCCTTCCAGAGTTCCAGTGGAGCATCACAATGTCGCAAATTACTGCATCACATGCAAGAGATTTGGTCATGTTTGTTGCTCTGTAGGTGGCCAGAATTTAGATCCAAAAACCACTGGAAAAATCCGCTCCAGCAGAGGAGCAGACAGGGGTAAAAATGTCATCGTGGTAGATAAAGATGGATGGACGACCATCATTTCAAAGAGAAGAGCTAACAGCAGACTCCTTAAACATCAGGGTCATTCACAGAAGTGGGCCCCATCTAATGCATTGATCAAGATCCCTGCAACCTATCAACAAAATCAGGTTAAATACCTCAAATCAGTCACAAAGAGGTTTGTCATGGGGGTCCCTCAAACGTCCACATATTCTGCTCATAATGTGGAAATAGTACAAGTTAAGGACATTATGCATTTATTCTATCCCAAGAAGACATTGGGCCCCCATGGCGACGAGGAGAGCATCAGCCTTATTCACTTTTCTCCTGAAACCTTAGCTAGTGGGAGGACGGAGAAGGTTGCGTCATCACTAAAAATAGGGACTGAAGACCCTTCCTTTGACTGATTGGAAAACCCTACCGTTGACTGCCTATTGGTACTCAGGAGGGACGGCCAATTAAACATGGAAGAAAGGGTGAATTATGCATGAATATACATCGATTTGACTCTGATGCATTTTTACGAGAATGGATGGGCATGACGCAGGCTGGCCTTGTTCAAGATGGTGAAAAAATATACATCATCCCCTTGAGGCCATCGGGGATACTCGCATGAACACTGAGCAAGATGGTGAAAAAATTATTGAATTATTGATCACTCTAACCTAGAACCACTTGAGATTGATATCACTAAATGCAAACCCCTTCAATGGTGCTCCCGAGGGGGGGAGGGGGTTCATAAAGGACAAACTAGGCCTTGAGCTGTTCAAAGGCATAGCATGAAGACAGCTCAAGCTCAGTTAAATTCAGTGTCCTTGAAGATGCTGTCCTGGAATAGTCGTGGTGTTGATAGCTCTTTAAATTGACTTATTTCCCTTGTTAAAGTTCATAATCTGATTTTGGAGCCTATTGTACATGCAGCTAAGATTAATGGATTTCGTTTGAAACTAAATTGCCAGAATTTTAATGCTACGTTAGATAACAAAGTTTCTTTTTTGGAATGACTCTTCACTGGTGAGGAAACCTTGTAAGCTAGTATCTTCCATATTTCCACTGTATATGAGAGGCATACAGCCCTGGAAAGGGAAGAACTCTGGAGAGGCAAAAGCAACCAATATGCCAGCAAATTGCAATTGCATGGTAGGAGGTGCCTTTAATGTCATTGCCTCCCTGGAAGAACACAAAGAATAGGTGGTTCATTCCACAAAAGACAGATGATTTTCAAGACTGCATTGAAAACCTAAACAAATTGATCCCAAAGGACGTTTCACGTTTATTTACATGGACTGGCAACAGATCACAAGGCAAAGTGTGGAGGCGCCTTGAGGAGGTGAAGGAGCAACCTCCCTAACCTTGAGGAGGTGAAGGAGGCAGTGTGGAACCTGAAAGAGTGCATTGCCAGTGGACCAGATGAGTTCAATGGAATATTTTTTAGATAATATTGGGAATCTATCAAGGATGATCCCCATAAATCATGTCCAGAGTTCTTTCTTGGTGTGTAAGTCCCTAAAGCAGATGGAAGCAAAATGCTTACCCTAATCCCCAAAACAGAAGATGCCTCTAATAGACAGATTTCAGACCTATTTCACTTTCCACTTTTATGAGCAAAATCAATACAAGAATACTGGCCACAAGATTGAGCTCCCTACTTCAGAAAGTAATTAGCCCTGAGCAAGCTGGCTTTTAGAAGGGTAAGTCAGTGGATGATCAGATTCTGCTGGCTTAGGAACTTGCTCACCAGTTGGATATGAGGGTGGTGGGTGGTAACACAATCATTAAGCTTGACATGGCAAGGGCTTTTTGACAAAATCAGGGGCATATCTGCAGCAGGTCCATAGAAAGTTGGGCTTCAATGACCTGGTCACCAAGCTCATGTTGGGAAACCTTGAAGCTACCAAGATATCCATCTTGATCAATGGCAGTCCCAGGGGGGTTTTAGCAGGAGGAGAGAGGTTAAACCAGGTGACCCCATATGCCCTCTACACTTTGTCCTGGGTATGTGATTCAGTAGAGCACTTGAACATGCTATCCAACACAAATTCATCAAGTCCTTAACCCATCGTCCTGATGGCTTCCCATCAGGCTTATAACACACACACACACACACTCTCTCTCTCTCTCTTTCTCTCTCTCCCTGAAAAAATGTCCTATGTTTCTTTTTTAGTTGTCCCAAAATATGTCTCATTGCATTTATGAAAGAAATGAGTGGTTCACAAAATTTCTTTATCCTTTGCATAAACCTCCACCATCCAATTTCACTTTTTCTTAGACCCCGTGATAGTCAAACCAAGACATTCATTTAGGGACAGAGGGAATATATAACAAGATACATATAAAAGTTGAATGGAAAATGCCATTATGGTAGAGCTTAACGGTTATCCATATGACTTCAAATTTATGTAAGGACCTTTGTGCGGGGGAGGGGGTTGTGTTGTGTGTGTGAAGCCCGGCAAGTGCAAGAAAAAGTTCCATGAAACTGGTTCCAAAGTTATGAGAGAAACGTAATGAAATGAAACTCACCTTTTCAACTAAGTGCTCCTTGGGAGGATGTGATAAGTATTCTGACTTTTCTCCAAATAGGCGTGTCATATCCACAGCCCCATCTAGGTGAACCAATATTAGGAAAAAGTGAGGTCTCAACCAAAACCAATAGAATTGATACTCTTATATTGTGAAGCCTTTGCTAAGAAAAGAAAAAAATGCATGTTATTTCAATTTTCAACCTTCACTAGAATAAGTTTAAAATGCCAGACAACCCAGAAAAATCATGCACTGGTGCTTATCTTTTTCTTGCATTAATGTTCATTTAACATATACTCCCTCCGTCCCATTATATTTGTCCACTTTCATTTTTGCACACCATCCAATGCACTTCTCTAATCCATTTTATCTTGTAATTTGTATATTAAAAAATTATAGAAATTATATATTAATAATTTATATGTTAAGACAAATCAAACAAGATCACACATGACTATATTTAGGCTTACACATTGAGAGAATTTGATGAGTCAAAGTACTTAGATGAACAGTTCCAAAAGTCAAAAGTGGACGAATATAGCGGGACGGAGGAAGTATTAGTCAAAGCTTGGGCATTGAGCACAGAACAAGTGCCTTATCTGAATCACTATGGCATTGGATAACAAAAACAAAAATAATGAAGGCAATACATAAAAGTTAAAGATCAATTTCAGAACCTACAGTGGCTGATTTCGTTCTTAGCAGCAGTTCCAATTTTTTCTATTGACTTCAAGTTACTCCTCAGCATCGCTAACTCTCCAGTGTTTTTAGCCTTGTACTCTTCCTTGGCGATCTCACTAACTTTCAGTAATCTATCATTCAATTCTTGTAATGAAAACCAATTCTTGTTTCCCAAGTGATCCGGCCTCAATTTTATCAATTTCTGCCCCAGCTCATTGTGATCATACGGGAGCTCAAATGACTCTTCCACAGCTCCTCTGTCATACCCACCTTTCAAATCATTGATACCCTTGTCACCTACAGAGGTTGGAAACTTGTGGCTACCAATTGGTACCCCCTTTTCTGCTGTGCTCGGATCACCAAGCCTCAGCCCTAAGTTGCCCCTTAATGTAGAAAGTGAAAACTGATTATGGTTTTTCCCCTGAGCAGCACCTTGACTACTTTCTCTGAGCCGATTCAAGTTTTTTGTAATACTGTCCAAGCCAAGCTTGTAGGTGACAGGCTTTGCCCCATCGGGCCTGGATTCTTTTTCCTTGGGGGCTAAACTCCGATCGTAAATCTCCCGAAATGAAGTAATTGGCGGAGAAACACGTGACGACGGAGGGGCAGAACAGCTTGGCGAATCAGCTAGTTTCTTCTTGATATGATTCAGGATGTCTGAATTTTTGGGTTGCCCATGGGAACTGGAGAAAGAAGTACCCGGAACGAAATTGGCTGGACACCGTTGTAAACGGAGCGGAAGACCTCTTACAGTTGCCGCCATGAGGAGCTCCAATGTTTGAAGCCAAAACCCTAGTGTTTGTCTTGAAACTTGAAAGTGAACCTGGTTTACAATTTCAGCAGCCTGAAACTTACTCCGTAGTTAGTAATTTACGGTAAAAATTTACTCCTTATTTGCTTAACCCTTAAAAAATTCATAAAACCTGCTTATTACTTATTCCGTCCCTCAGTTTTTGTTCACTTTTAACATTTGGAATTGTTCATTTAAACACTTTGACTTATTAAATTCTCTCCATGTGTAAGCTTAAATATAGTCATGTGTGATCTGGTTTGATTTGTCTTAACATATAGATTATTAATATGTAATCTCTATAATTTTTAATATAGAAATTACAAGATAAAATGGATTAAAGAAGTGCATTGGATGATGTGTAAAAATATAAGTGGACAAATAGACAGAGGGAGTACATGTTTTAAATGTTCGGCATAAGCACATAGATATAAGATATGTACCTGTATTAAATGTTTCCTAAATTTAAAATACATCTTATAATACAAATGTATATATTCAAAAAAATATGCAAGCATGGGATCATTAAACTCAATGATAGATAATTTGATATATATTATACAACCAAATTTATAATAAAATGAATAAAAATCAGTATAATTGTTTTAAAATGAATTTGATGTGAATAGTAGAAAAAATCATCTTCATACTTGTTTGCAATACTTGCATTAAAATTTTTAGTTCATATCCTCCATGGCATACCTAAAATGAATTCTTGTTTCTAACCATGACCGCAGATTATATGGTTAGAAAAAATCATCTCCATACTTGTTTGCAATACTTGCATTAAAAGGCTTGATTTGGTAGGGACTGCTGGGCGGTCAATTGGTGCAATTGGGTCTAATTGGGTCAATTTGGATAATTGGGTTTTGTTTGGATCTGTGGGTTTAATTAGGGGGCGTTTGGTTCGGGGGTAATGTAATGGTTGTGGTTTTGGATTAGCAGGGATTTTATATCGGTATTCCCATTCTTCTTCTAACTCTTCCCATTCCCGTTTCTTCCTCGCCTCCACACTCGGGCGCTGCAACTCCATCCTTCTCATTCCCGTTT